TGGAAGAGAACGAGTAAAGAGAAGCAGTATATAAATATGTAAAATATCATTTACCAATTTCTCAGCTGTTTTTGAAGTGTCTTTTCGGGAATGAACAAAAATCATTGCTTGGTGACCTTGTCTAATTGAATCAGCAACCTAACATGAAAGCATTACCATGTAGATAAGTGACTGTCCATATTAACATAGAAACGAAAGAGGCTTTATTCAAGATAGAGACCTTTTTGTAACATATCTCATTTAACAATGCATTTTTAGCAGCAAAGTTATGCTCGGTGATGCCTATATACTGCTGAGCTAAGGGAACTGGGCGATAGCTCGAATCAAAATAGAAAAGGCCAGTGTCTGGGTTCACTCGTAGAAACTGAGCAACCTGAAATCCACCCCACAAAAAGGTTTAAAATAAAATATAAAAAATTGAGCGACTCTAATTTCCTGAGACCAACGAGGAAATATGAAGTAATACAGTGTAGTGCATAACAACATCGTGACAGATATATACATATCTTGCTGGAACAGACCTGTAGATAGCTAGGTAAAGTGGCTGACAGGCCTACAATTCTTATCATTGTCTGTGTTGACTCCACCTGGTACAGAACAAAAGTCAACCAGATTTTACCGTGATGCCCAAATAGAGGAGAACAACTTCAAGAATTGCTTTAACAAAACCAATATTCACGGCAACGTATTTAACTCAACAACGAAAAAGTTATGATCAAAACAAGGTGTTACCTGCCGGAGGGTCCGAGCAACTAATGCCTCTATCACTGCACCTCTATCATCATTCAGAAGATGCACTTCATCGATGATCAAGAGTTTTACTAGCATTGACAATGACATGTCGCTGCTTTTGCGAGTAATGACATCCCATTTTTCTGGTGTTGTCACTATCATCTAATTCACAATCATTAAATACCATGTACATATCAGTTCCTGCATGTCTCCGTAAGAAACTTAAGTATATCTTGTAAGCTTAAGTAAAACCTGAGTTTCCTCAAGTTCGCTCTTGGTGAGTTGCATATCCCCTGTAAGCTCCTTCACAATCATATTTAATGGAGCGAGGCGGCGGCTAAAAGCTGATGTGACCTCTGCCGCTAATGCCTATAAAGAACAAAAAGTAAATAAAATTTTGAATGACAAAATAAGAATATATTAACATGATTCTACCTTCATAGGAGCTACATAAACAATCTTAAACTCGTTTTTGTGCAAGTAGCCGTCCCTGAAGTGTTGTTTAATCTGCAAGACAATGAGATAATATATATGAAAATTTTAGCGTGATTACGATATTTTTTTGAACACATTAAAGAAAAAAAATTCTATTCACGTTCTTTGTAAATAAAATCTCAAAATGTTTGCAAATGACTGTGATAAAATCAGGTTCGGAAAACAAAAATAACCAAGTAGAAAAGTACTTACCTCATGTAAAACAGAGATCATAGCAATATTTGTTTTTCCAGCTCCAGTTGGAGCACACACCTGCAAGGTACATAATATACGTATATGAGAATGTAAGGTAACTCGCATTGTCGCTCGGTATGGACACAAATTTTACATATGACTCACCAATATATTCTCATTGGTGTTATAAACTGTCTGAAATATTCGAGACTGAATACGGTTCAAAGTTTTGTAACCATGAAAAGCAGCTTGGGCGAAGTCATCCAACTCCTTTATCTCAATCTGGCAACATGCAAGAATTACAGTTAGAATGCACGCAATCTCACAGAAAACGCTACAATATGATCCAAATAGGATTTTTTTTTTAATATGTTTGAATAACACTTGGCGATCTGGCATGCAATTGTCAGTTATCTTCTAGATATGGATGAGACGTACCAGCTTCTCGCCTGGTTTCAATTGTGCGGTAGGGGTTGGAGGGATAAAGACTTCCTCATATCCTTTTAAGTGCTTCCTTACAGTACCTTGGGGAAGAGCAAATGAAAGAGAATTGGCTTCTCCAGACCCGATCAGATCGTCAAACCCACTATTCTTTTCACTTGCTTCTAGTAAATAAGAAAAATTGGCCTCCGATATTTCACTCTCTAAACCAAGCTCAGCACTGCGTTTGTTTTTCTTTTCCTCCTTACGCCGAAGTTTTTCAATTTGCTTTGCGGACTCTGTTTGAACAGTAACCTGAAAGGTGGCTGCGGGTTACTGTGGCTATAGAAAAAAATTGACACAGCATTATATGGGAAGGCCTCACTCTTTGGCACTACCTGTGTGCCATATGTAGGCATCCGGGTTTGGGTGTTTGAAGCTGTTTTGTCAGACTTGAGAACCATCTGACCATGATGGATAGCATCAACAATCTCCTTCCGATGCTGAAAAGCGGAATCAACAAGTCAGACAACATTCCAATTTCTAAGAAATTAGAAAGCATAGTATAACTTCACTATAAACCGGAGTACTAACCCTTTTACTATACCTACGCACACCCACACATATCCACGGAATGACTTCAATTCAAATGAGAAGAACATTCAGTAATACGTGATTTAGTTAAACACTATAAAAGCCGGCTTGCAGGGGCATAGGTTAACCTAGCAAGTAACTTTAACTAAAAGCTACAAGATGAAGATTGCCACCCAAACGTAACAGAAACCCTCAAGACAGGCATTTATACAGTGAATCTAAAGCTAATCAGGTAAAAAATGCACAATAACAGAGTCCAGATAAAATAGTAATATAAACGCTAGGCTTACCATAATAAGGTCTTGAACAGTCTCAAATGCGCCATCCCCAACAAGATCCAACAAATCTCCCGCTATCTGCAGACAAAAAAAAGTTAACATCCCTTCTACTTCCATTTCTAAGTCTATGCTGCAGGATTAGGCACAGTAATTCCAAAATATTTCACCACAACACACATACCTCTTCACCAGGCTTATCCGAATCCAGAAACCTACATATAGCCATAGCCAGTTCATCACGGGAAAGCTGTGAACTGCTTCCTCTGACAATCTGTCCGCATGCATCTCTAAGCCAACTCAAATCGAATTTTCCTGCACTTTGACTCTTTGTCGCGTCACTGACATCACTCCACCCTTCATAAAATGATGCATGAGCGTCATTGCTTTCTACATCCTGAAACCCTCTCTCGCCAAGAGATTCTTCCACCAGAAAACGACTTGGCAGGTTAAAAACAAGGTCGGCACCAAATTCAGCTCCATCATCAGCCTCATCCGCATACGCCTCAGACTCACGATGAGTAGGCTGTATTGAGTAGAGTGCCAGAGCAAAGGAGGCTACGTTCTTTACATTAGCATCTGACACACCATGTCCAATAACATTTTGCAACTCCAACCTGTTAAATATAAACCAAAAAAACATACTAATGCTAAACACACTAGAAAACTACAAATCTGTGGCCATGCATTGATTAATAAGTTAATAAACATATCAGAAAAATCAGAATCAGCAGTGTTTACTTCTTTTCAGCAATGCTCTTATCAGTGTTATCACTAAAATCACTCTCCTCCTCTTCCACTGGCTTGCCAAAGAGACGATACGCCGTAAAAGCAACCTCACGAAACTCCTCTGATGAAACTTCCCGATCTATCAACTCCACTACAGCTCCAATAAACTGCTTGTATGCTTGCCTCACTTCTTGAGAAGCTGTTAACATCAAATATCCAATCAATACACACTCATATAGTGAAACTATCTTATCAGAACATCACCTCCTTCCCATTGATGAACAATCCTCCTAGCTAGGTCAGATTCATCGAAACGACTCCCAGAGCTGAATTAACAAACACAAAACGCAATTTGACGTTATCACATGACTAAACAGCTACAAAATTCTATACAGATCGTAAAGAATCCACTAAAACCCTAATAAACGAGTGAAATCGATTCCAAAATCAAAGCGAAATCTCAGGAACGAGGGGGGGAGAAGAGAAGGCGAACCTGCGAGGCTTGTTGAGAGTTTGGAGTATAGTTTTGCGGCGGAGGTAGGCTTGATCGATGTCGAAGGGATCTCTTAGAGAGCTTGTTAGGCGAGGAAGTTGAACCAACATGATTAAACGCTGTAATCTGCGTCGTTTAGGCTTCTTTTTTCTTCTTCTTAATTATTCACCTCTGGTGTGTAGCTCTTCGGGGAAGAAGAACGATCGCTCGCGCTTAAACGGCGTCGTTTCAGTAGTTTGATGAAGAGTTTTGCTAGGACCCGTATACCGACCCGCTAACATACGGGTTCATTAAAACGACAGCGTTGCTTTAATAGGACCCGTACACCCGACCCACTAAAATACGGATTCACTAAAAAACGGCAGCGTTGCTTTTATAGAGGAGACTCGTACCCGCTCAAATATAGGTTTATTAAACAACAGTGTTTTGGATGGTAAATATATTTTTTTGATAGATATTTTTACAATTGACATGTGATGGAGAACCCTACTAAATTATTCCTTTTTTAATTGGTAGCGATTTAGGTTGGTGAGAATAGTGCTTTTGAGTTTGAATTCTGAACATTTATTGCTAGTATGGTTAATTAATAATGTCAATTTTTACATTTTACATAGACTGTAAATAGTGTTCTTGAGTTTAAATTTTTAGATTAATTTTTTTGATACAACATTTTTTTATTTTGACATTTGTGTGGAACACCACAGCCTGCAACACAAGTTTGGATTTTTCAATAAATAAGAAACATGGACTGTTTTTTATTTAATTTTCATCAACAACAATAATACAACGTCTTTTTAAATTTTTTTTTTTTAACTACACAATGTCTCTTTAATTTAAATCTCAAAAACATACGTACCAAAAAAAGTCTACAGAAGCTATGTTTCTTTAATGATGCAAGAAAGCACTCAAAAGGGTTTTGAGAAGAGACAAAGAGGGTACACACCACATCACTCTCTACACAAAAGAAGTAGCCAACTCTCTCTTTCTCTCTCTCTCTTGTGTGTTTCTCCACTTTTCTCTTCTCCTTTGCTCTAGAGATCTCTCTTATCTCTATCTTCATACTTGTGACATTTTGTCTGAACGCATCTATGGCTGCTCTAGTGGTTCTTTCACTTCTCCTTCTAGCCATGGCTGGTCACTCTAGTAAGCACTTCCCACTCTTCCTTCAGATTCTTAGCATTATTAGTCTTCTCTCACTGTCCAAGTCTCAAGCCTTTTGTGGCTTTGGTCTGAAAAATGGGTTCTTGTAATAGTCAAGGGTTTTACTGTTCAAAAGTGTTCTACCAGATTAAATGTTACCATTTTTTTATATTTATTGTTATAATATTAATTATTCCCTTTGGCATCTGGCTGTTTCTTTGGTCTTTGGATAATGAAAAAAAAAAATCAAGATTTGTCTTCTGTTCTTGTCTCATGGAATCTTGAATCAGTAACTAAGTGTTGTTTCTCTCTTTTTTTTTTGGGTCTATGTTAGGTGCTTCATGGTGTGTGTGCAAGACAGGGCTGGGTGATGATGTGTTACAGAAGTCCATAGACTATGCCTGTGGAAATGGAGCAGACTGTAACCCCATTCACCCAAAAGCACCTTGCTTTAACCCTGACAATGTTAGGTCTCATTGCAACTATGCAGTCAACAGCTTCTTCCAAAAGAAGCGTCAAGCTTCAGGCACTTGTGATTTTAGTGGAACTGCTACTCCGACTAACTCTGATCCAAGTTAGTCTCAAGAACCATCATCATTTGATATGCACATTTGAGGAACTTTTATTGCTTTTTTAGTGATTGTTAGGATTCATTAGTGTTATGGTCACAGAAAGTTGAAGGCTTTATGTTTTTGTTACAATTTGAATATGCCAAATGTGTGATAAAGACTGATTTCTAGTTACAATTTTGTGGATAATTAACAATGTATTAACATTTTCTGTGTGTTGTTGAACCTTTTTTTTTTTTTGCTTTTACAGGTTATTCAGGATGCACCTTTCCTACTAGTGCAAGGTATGTTTCTAATTTAAATGGCTATATCAAGAATTTGAAAGAAACATCTTATGGGACCAAAACCAAGAATTTGATTAGTGGCAAAGAGAAAAAGTTGAGTAAAGCTTGATTTGGGTCCCAAGTTTGCAACTTTTTTGATTTTTTTCTTTCTTTCTTTTGATGTGAAAGAGATAGCATCATTCAAAATCTATTAAGAATAGGAATAATCATAATTAACATTACTTAAACAGAAAAGTTAAGTAATAGCATTTTGACTCTAGTGTGAACGGTCCATTACTTCTTTTTATATGACACTTTTTTACATGACAGCGTTCAACATGAACCTAAAAGTACTCAATTTCTTTAGTTCTTTAATGAAACTTTAGATTATATGCTTTATTGGATTACAGTTTGAACGCATGATCAGTGTTCTTGACTGATATGACCAACCCTTCAGTTATTAGTGACTAAGACACATCTTTATGTTAGAGTTTTGACTATATATAACATGAATTTTGCTTTGAAGTTTCATCAAGGTCTTGTTGTGAAGTCATTGGACCAGCTTCATTAATGCCTCAAAGTGGTTGTTTCTTGTCTGATATATGTAATTTGTTGCTTTTTTTTCAGCGGCTCTGGTGGCTCTAGTAGCTCTGGTAGCTCTAGTGGCTCTGGAGGCAGCACTACTGTGACGCCAGGCACAACCAACCCAAAAGGCAGCTCAACCACCACCACACTTCCTGGTGGCAACAGTCCTTACCCAGGAACCTCAACAAATGGAGCTTTTGGAAACAGTAGCACAGGAGCCAATGGGACAGGAGTTAACCCGGACTACACTACAGAAAGCAGTGCCTTTGGTCTCATGAAGAACTCAAGCAAAATGTTCACCTTCCTTTTCTTGATTGCTTCAAGTGGATTTGTTCTTTCTTGATGTTCCCTGGCTTTGTTGGTGCACTTACTTATTGTCTTAAGGAAACTGGTCTAGCTTAGTTGGTAATCTCTCTGTCTGAGTGTTCTGAGTCTATCTCTATGTTGTGTTCTTTGTTGTAAGAAGATTTCAGCTCTTGCTTGTACTCTTACCACGTGATGGTTTCTGGTAGATGTGATCCTAGTTTAAAAACTTATATATAAATGATATTATCTCTTGGTTCTTCTTTTTTCTTATACTGGGTTGGGATCAGTAGTGCAAGGTTTGTTTTTCACCAAAACATACTGCTAATCTTTTTTATTTTTTCCAGAGAACGTAGAGCAGATAGTTTGAGTCTTTAGGCTCAAAATCTCTCACTCACTCATATAGAAAACGTTCAGCCCTTGTGTGTTCTTATGTCAATCTTTTCTCACGCTTTACTCTGAAGTCTCTGATGCCTAATATGTGGTAATACAACAAAGAGAGAGGACAAGCAAAAGTCTGACCGACATATGAGCTCACATGTGCTTCTTTTGTGCGTGTGTTGGAACCCTTTGTCTCTCTTAGAGTCTTGTTAACACTTGCAACACCTTCGTGGTGTTGTGTCCACTCTTGTTGAAGTTAAACTCCTTCTCGGTCCATGTGTCCACAGCTTGTTGTCTTCATAACTTTCAATTTGTTCTTTGGCTGATGATCATGTTCACTATCCTCAACATATCATTCTGCTTATAGTTATTTCATGGTATATTAAGTTCTTTGAGAGAGTCATGTTTCTTTGTGAATCATTTCTATAATTCCACATGATCCAATCATATAGTAACAGAATGCAGAAACGTATAATCACATCTATTAATACATTAATACGCTGTTACTATATATTTATAGAATAAAACATTATTCAATAGATATATTAACACATTTGATGGACCTTACTTATCAATATGACAATATACAACCACTAGATTGTGCCAAGATGTAAATGAACTTCGCTTCCCTATATAAATACATCAAAGAGGTTCACGTTTGGGGTTCGAGAGAAGTCACAAGAAGTCTTCGCTCTTCAGAGAGAGACGAACACAAAAGCTGTTTCTTGCGTCCCAAGACAACGATCACCTTCTTCCCTCTTTCTTCTTAAACCGAAACCTCTTTTCTCATTCGGACGCCATTGAAGAACCCTTTTCATCGATACTAATGGAGAACAAGGGAAGTGGATCCAAGACTGAATCAAAAACAACAACTCTACCTTCTTCTTCTTCTTCTACAGAGAAAAGCGTTACCAACTATAAGGTAAAAGCATTTTCACACTACTTGACGTTTACGATCATATCTTGATTCTTGAAACCGTTTCTTGATTAGTCTTTGTTCTTATTATTTGCTAGAAGAAGAACACGAAACCTTGTGAGGTATGCGAAAGTAAAGACGATGACGATGATGTAATCAAGTGTTATAACCCTCCTAGGTGGCTATGTGAAGTGTGCCGTAACTTCCCTGGCTTTGTCGAAGTTAAGCCGGAAGATGATGCTCAAGATTCTAATGAAACCTCAGCGACTAATCAATCTTCACAATCAGAGGCACATACTACAAGTCAAGAAGGTAACGAGACCAATCTCATTAGCTTATAATAAGTATATATAATATGGTTTAGTTTCTGTTTACTATGAAATCAAGAAACTGATGTATCTTTTGATTTGTCACAGCTTCTTCTACAGCGTCTATCAACACATCTCCTGAGCAGAAACAAGCAGACTCCAACACTCAGGCTGATACTGAAACCTCAGGGACTAACCAACCTTCACAACCGCAGGCAGATACAAATGCAGAAGGTAATGAGACCAATCTCATTAGCTTACAAGTGTATATATATGGCTTAGTTTCTCTCTTCATTGTTGAGTGTTGTGAATACAAGAAACTGATGTATCTTTTTGATTTATTATCACAGCTTCTTCTACAGCGGAGACATGTCAGGAGCAGAAACAATCAGACTTCAACGCTCCCTCTGATTCGGAATCTTCAAAGTAAAATGCTTTTCTCAGAGAGTTGTGTGTAGCTGAGCTTAGCCGTTATCAAAGACATCTGGATTTTAGGGTTTCTTTTTTTTTTTCTGTTTTAAGATTTTACTTGGGTTACAAGGGATCTTACATTAGACTTGTTTGATGGTTATTTCATTTGCTTCAGTACTCTTGTACATTCTCTTTTACTTCCTCTGTAATCAGAGAGATGTGGGGGGGGAATTAGAGGTTGTTAAGAGACATCTGGATTTAGGGTTTCTTTTTAAAACGTGTGTTTCTTGGGTCGCAAGTTAGATCTCAGTATATAAGTGAGATTGGACTTCTTTGATAGTCATTTGCTTCAGTACACTTGTACATTCTCATTTACTTGCTACTTTCTTACAAAAAAAAAAATATATAGTATATGCTTTGACTACAGTTTTATTAATACAACTTCCTGAGTTAATGCCTAATAAAACTTTTAACAATGATTCTGAAAATGTTAAATTTCAGATAATTTATTTAACTTATGCATCACTCTGAAAAAGTTTGATAAATTTATAACTAAACAAGATTAAAATATACAATCCCGCCTTGTTAATTGTTTCCAAGATTCAAATCTTGTTAAATCTTCAAAATTCATGTTTCAAGAACTAACTAATTACCTATGTGTTCCCTTGCTACTATACTCTGTGAAACAATGATTCTGAAGAGAAAGACTACTAATTTAAAGTTGTTTTGTTTAAAAGAAAAATGATAGAGTTTCTTTGACGACAAGTTATTCACTTCTTTTTTGGCCATTATATTATCCAAACTTAGATGATTTAAAAACTTAAATCCAAATAGAACAACCAATACCAAATATAATATCATAAATTGGTACACCGAATATTAAAAGAAATCCATTTCAAATTTTACATAGTTTTAACATTTTATTTCATAGTGATTTGAAACATATTACATGATCATAGAATATATATATACGACATATGAAATATAATTGAGAACCTAATCGTTTTTTACACTGGAGAGTTTATATATGTAGCAAAAATAAATTATATGCAAATTAATTACATAATGTAAATTACAATATTGCTAGAAGTGAAAATGCCAAAATTAAAAACAAACAGGGGACAAAAATGAGATATTGATTATATCTTAAATATTGATTATTAAAAGATATAGTTATTTAAAATGGAAATAAGGAAGGTTTCCAATAAGAAGTTATATATCACAAAAGGCTAAAAGAACATATAAATTATTTCAATACTTTTGCATATTTTTGCATAAAAACATAAGGAAAATCTGAAAAAATTGAGCAAAATTTAAGAATAAATTATGAGATAACAACTTAAGAAAACAGATGTAAAGACTTGAAAATAACTACTAGTTGACAAAGTGAACTTAAAAATAGAGATAAGAACTCAATTCCATTCTTTATGATGAAAAGGTGAGCTTGGGGATGAACATATATGAGAACAAGTATCATACTTTAGACATTTCTCTTATACAAATTTTTGTATGAAAAGAAAGTATAATTGATGCGCTTAAATTTGTTTATGTAATTTATGTTTGACTATGTGTGTTTCCAATAGATAATAGTAGTTTAATCCGAATAAAAAAAAAATCATTTCTGTAATTTATGTTTGAGTTTGTGTTTCCAGATTGATAATGATAGTTTATTCCGAATCCGAAAAATGTGTAATACTCAAAATTATTAACATAGAAAAACACTTAAATTTAATATCTTTTTATTATAAAAATATTTGTATAAACCATAACATATGTTGAACTAAGAGAATATCATCATATTTAATACATATCTCTTGTACATTTTAGTGTGAGAAGAAAGTTTAATCAATGCGCTTAAACTTGTTTCTGTAATTTATGTTTGACTATGTGTTTTCTGATTGATAATTATAGTTTAATTCAAATCCGAAAATTTAATTTCTGTAATTTATGTTTGAGTTTGTGTTTTCATATTGATTATAATAGTTTATTCCGAATCCGAAAAAATGTGTAATAGTCAAAATTATTGACACAGAAAGACACTTAAATTTAATATCTTTCTCTTATAAAAATATTTGTATAAACCATAACATATGTTGAACTCAGAGAATATCATCATATTTAATACATTTCTCTTGCACATTTTTGTGTGAGAAGAAAATTTAATCAATGCGCTTAAATTTGTTTCTGTAATTTCTGTTTGACTTTGTGTTTTCCGCTTGATAATTATAGTTCAATCCAAATCCGAAAATTTCATTTCTCTAATTTATGTTTGAATTTGTGTTTTCAGATTTGATAATAATAGTTTATTACGAATCTGAAAAAACGTGTTAATAGTCAAAAATATTGAAACATAAAGACACTTAAATGTAATACCTTTCTCTTATAAAACTTTTTGTATAAGCCATAACATATGTTGAAATAAGAGAATAATATCATATTTAATACCTTTCTCTTATACATTTTTTGTATGAGAAGAAAGTTTAATCAACGCGCTTAAGTTTATTTCTGTAATTTATGTTTGACTTTGTGTTTTCGGATTAATATAGAAAGAAAGTTAAATTGTGTGAATATATTCAAAATTATTTACTAGCTTGTTCTGGCCTATTTGAACTGAGGTTCCCTATATAAATACATCAAAGGTTCTCAGAGAGTTATAAGAAAACAAAATCTGTTCTTGGTAAATGATCATCTCCTCCTTAAACCGAAACCTAGTTTCTCTTTGATCGATACTAATGGAGTACAAAAGAAGTGATTCGTCTTCTTCGGAAGAGGACAGCGTTACCAACTATAAGGTAAATTAGCTATTAATCCGAGTTAAATACATACAATGATGAATAGAAAATGTGTTTCTTGATTATTCTTGCTATTGTTTGTAGGAGAAGACCCCTTGTGAAATATGCGGAAGTGATGCAAATGACCATTTGATAATGACTTGCTACAACTGCAGAGAAACACGAGAGCATATGTACATATATGATTCAATGATTCCTCTTCTTCCACTTAATCATTAACACGAATCGTTGATTTATTTTGTTGTAATGTTTCAGTTATTGCGCAAGGGTGCTTTTTAAAACTGTACCTGACAGGTGGATATGTGATGAGTGCTGTATCTCAATCCGCGTACTCTTCATCAAGCATGGTTTTGCTAAAGGTCCTAATGAGACTGCTAGGTCATGGCGGCTTAATCGTGCTTATAACCGAGTTTCTGTTGCATCAAAGACTAGTCATGTGGATGGTCAGAATATGAAACCAATCTCTTTAACTTATAAGTGTATATGGCTTAGTTTCACTGAGAAAATGATGTATCTTTTTATTTATCCAGCTTCTTCTCCAGTGTCCAATGGTGCATCTGATGTGATCATGGACCAGTTAGCTGATGACGATGCCTTATCCGTTCCTGAAGGTCCCATGACTCGTTCAAGGATAAAGAAACTCAATGAAGCTATTGGAAGTTTACTCAAGAAAGCAGGGAAGCAAGAAAAAGATCTTGGTCGAAGCTTGATCAACCAAGACGCCTTGACCATCATTCAAGCTACCCCACCATCAAACTGATCAGCATCTAGGCAAGTAGCTTGTGTGTACTCTTTTTCCCTTGTTTGGTTTTGTCCCAAATAAGGTTTTTAATGAGGCCACAAGTTTACTTCTTTGATCACCTTATGTTGATCTCAGACTAAATAAAGAACCATATATTATATTTTATCTCTATTTTATGTTATGTTTTTATTTGAAAACTCTAGTCAAATGTGTATTTCAAGAAAAGACTTTGTCTTTCTACCCCCTCTTGCTTGTGCATGTACAAGTCTATCCCTTTATATGTTTTGAAAACTCTCGTATCAATCTATGCAATCTTTTATCTATAAACTTGTTCTCTTGTTTTTCTTCTTTAAGAGAGAGGGGTTCATAGAATTTAGTTATTTTAATATATTTTTTGTCTTGAAAAATGTGTGAACCCCCATCTAAATCTTTGATGGGGGTGCTCTCAGGAGCTTACTCACAGCTTGATGGCGTCATAACTTTCACTTTGTTCTTTGGCTGATGATCATGTTCACTATCATTCGGCTTATAGTTCTTTCATGGTATATTAAGGGTCTGACTGGTTGAAACGCGGCGGTTGCGATTGCGGTTGCGGGAGTTTGCGGATGTGGGTGGTTGCGGTTTCTAGCGTTATTAGGCGATTTGTACGACTGGTATAGCGATTAAAAACTGGTGCGTTTGCGGGACATTTATGACTGGTTGATTATGAGATACTACAGCGGTTCAATAATAAATTTCCAATATTAACATATTATAACATTATAAAAATATCAAAACATACTGTTATGATAAAAAATAATAACTATTAATATATTTTAAATAATAACAATATTATTTTATTATTTTTTATTTAGATGAAAATATAATTTCTATAATTAATAAAATATTCTAATATAATTAATTATATATTTATGTATTTATATATTTATCTATTTATCTATTTATATATGTATATTTATATATTTATATATTTATATATTTATGTATTTATATATTTATGTATTTATATATTTATATATTTATGTATTTATATATTTATCTATTTATCTATTTATATATGTATATTTATATATTTATATATTTATATATTTATATATTTATATATTTATATATTTATATATTTATATATTTATATATTTATATATTTATATATTTATATATTTATATATTTATATATTTATATATTTATATATTTATATATTTATATATTTATATATTTATATATTTATATATTTATAT